GGCACCCTGCAGAGCAGCGTTCGCCAGGGAAAGCGGCACAGCGGGAAACACAACTGCCGAGCAGGACACGAGGAACACGTGCTGGTCACCAAAAACGGCAACAAAACGGCACCGACACAGCAACGCGGCTGCAGCTGCGGCACACCGACAGCTCCAGAGCATCCTACGGATACTCCAGCAGGTCCATCGTGGTAATTCCGCAGCCTACTCCTCCAGGAGCAGGCTAGAGCAAATGAGGAGCCCTTACAAGTCCACCTTCCAGCTACAAAATCTTGCAGCTTTAACCATGCTCGAGTTCATTGCACAGAGAAGCAGCCAGGAGGAGGCCAAGCAATGCATCTAGATCTCGCTGCTACGGCGACCTCAGCTTCTCTGCAAATGAGAGCAGGAAGACACTTTGATTCTTGCCTGGTAACATAACAGGTATAGAAAGACAAGCGATTTTATAAAAACTCAAGAATGGACAACAGACAGCTCTCAACCGAGTTCCTTTTCAAAAGCTGTGGCTTTCAGGCTTCAGTTCCCCACCGAGTTAAAGCTCAGAGGACAGAGCTTTGCAGAGCCCTGAAGCCGTTCCCATGCACCCACCTACACACCACACGGAGCAGGACAGGAATGAACAGCACGGGACGAGCTGTGGGGCTGCTCACAAACATGCGGATCCTGGAAATCAAAATCCCCGAACCCACCTGCAGGGAGGGTGCCCTGGCACATGCTGCAGAGCCAGGACACCACAGGGACACAGCAGTGCTGCTTGTCACCCCTGGCTGCCACAGTTTGGGGTCTTAAAGGCCCCAAATAAGGTCTTTGTGCTGTTTGGGGAGCTGGCAAGGCTTTTTTAGCCTGTGTTTGCACCGCTGCCTTTCCCTGTTCTTAGGGAACTGTACAGACAGTCACTGTTTTCCCTTTCTCATTTCCCACAGGCTTTAGGTGCTCATCTCCAGTGCCCTGTGTCTTGCGGACAGAACTGGAAACCCATAAGGTGGCTCAAATGTGACCATCGAGGCAAGTGGTCTCCTGCAAGAGCCACAAGGGAAGGCAGCTCAACAGGCTGTCCCCACGAGGGGACGTGCAGCTCAACAGGTTGTGCAGCTGATGCCACTTTCACCAAAAACGAGGCAAATCAGGACAGGAATCTCACGAAAGAGAACCTGTAAGTGAAACACTCCTTTGCCAACGCGTTCCTGCTCCAACACACCTACAGCAGTGCCAGCCTGAAGGAACTAGAAATTCAACATACGCAATGACCAGCAAGACATTACAGAGGACCCCAAAGCAGACAGCTCAGTAACCTACCAGATCTGTCCAACGTTGACGAGGGAGAGGTAGAGAATCCACAGGAGGGCCATGAGGATCATGTTTGCACACCCAGTCACCAGCACGAAGGCCGAAATCATGAGGCCAAGGACAGAGATGCCGTCCAAGATGCCGTCCATGTCTGACCACTCCAGGAACCAGATGATGGTTGGTGCAAAGCTCAGCGCATCCAGCCCGATCTTCCCCTTGAAGTACCTCTTGACGCTCTGCAGGTACAGCTTACATGGGAGCAGCCCCTTGTCTCCTATCAGCTGCTTGTTTTGCTGGTAGGCCACAAGGAAAGCCACAACTAGAGGAAAACAAGGAGGGGGAAATAAATATTAGAAAACATACAGGCAAAATTCCATTTTTCAGTCCAGTATTACACAACTATACTCATATCTTGGGAAGGAATCTTTTCACCCATGTCGACATCTCTATGGAAATAGAAGACAGTCATTTCTATGAACTATGACATAGAAGGCACGGGAATGCTATAAACAGTCTGTCTTCACGCCAGGAAATGGCACAGAGGCTGTTTTGAGATAGAACTTTCTCCTCGAGTCCTGGTCTGGGTTGACCCTCTGGATCCTCTCACATCCTAGTAGGTTGGAAATACAAAGACTTAATATTTTCCCGTCCCCTAAATTGCTGCTTTTCACATGTCCCTACAGCTCTCATAGCAGCTACGCTCTTGCACTGGACAATCTTAGAACAGCCAGATGCTTTTTTTAACAGCACATAAGCAATTTAATTACAGATCATAGACCTAGAATTTGATGTTCTACAGAGAAAGTTGGTCGGTTTGTAGGGATTATCTCATATTTTAGGAATCTCCTTCAGTTACCAATTTGCAATTTGTAACTGCAGTAATCTCCATTTCTCAGAAAAATGATGAAGGGCAACATTTCCTGATTAGGCTCCATACGTTTTGCTCCCAGCAACTAACTTACACATCTCAAACATTATCCAAACACCGGCCACGTCACACACAGCAACAGCAGAAGTCTTGCAAAAAGCCAACTTGTCTCCCTCCACTCCTCCTTAGTTAATGATCAATTCCACTTCTTCGCTTATCTGAATACAAGAATTTTGGTGCTCAACTGCATGGCTAAATAGCTGTAATATCCTTCACTGGTGACATTGGTGACACGTGTGAGGTTGTACCCTGAGCTCGAGCCTGGATTCCCCCTTCTTTGGGGCTCAGACCGAAGAGCAAACGTTTGCAAAGCCAGGAAAACAAGCAAACAAACATCCCATTTTCAAGGAACAAAGATCTCTGCTGGATTTCAGTTAATCCACTTAACGCTCAGGTGCACGGCAGGTATTGAGCTCTCTGCAAATCCCACCCCAAAGTGCCCAATCTGAGGCATGTTTGAAGTCACTGCAAGGGTCCCCATTGCTCCTGTGCCCACCTGGCTGGTTCTTCCTCCTCCTGCCCTCCATACACGGCCAAGGAGCTCACTCAAACACGTAAAGCCAAGAGCTTCTTATGCAATTCCAGACAGGCAGAAACAAGAGGAGAGCTGCTCACAACACTGAGGAGTCAGCGTTGGCCAGCAAATGTTTTACATTTTAAAGAATACCTTTTTTCTCCCAATACTCTGTTCAGTACAACCGTGTGACCAGAAAACCACACCCAAAACCAGCAGAAATGTAAGTTTTGAGCTTCAGAAAACTTAATGTCTTCATTTTTGATTAAAAATAAATAAATCCCATCTCTGTCTTAAAACTACATGGCCTGATTTTCCTTGATTAGCACTACAATTTGTTGCAGTTTTCCAGAAGTGCTAATCAAATTCACCTCTAAACGCTGCAGAAATTGCTCCCTCAATCCACAAATGTAAATGTTAAAAAAAATGTAAATTAGACCCCTGCACGGTATGCAAGATAAACGCGGAAAGGGTAAATTAGGAAAAACTACAGCAATTGGAGAAAAGTACACGATGTACAAAATACCGTGCAGCCTTTTTCAGCTTAAAAGCAGCAGGGACTGCGTTACAAGTTGGCATGAGCTGCACATCCCTGGATCACACTGCCCGGGCTCCGGAGCGGCCCAAAACACACGTTTTCCTTAGGATGCCCCAATTCCTGCTCTTTTGCATGCAACAGTCTCGCAGCAAAAGGCCATGAGCACCAACCCCAATGGATGGGGAAACTGGTCGAATCCAAAGCGGAGCCTTCGCGTTCTGCCCTTCTGCTCCGCGCTCATCCCGGGGCACTTCCGAGCGGAGCGGGACGGTCCCGATCCGGCTCCCTCTCCTGGACGCTGCCCAGGCTGCCGGCGCTCCGATCCCGGCAAAACCCGCTCCATATCCGAGAGCTCCTCTGCTGCGGTGCCTCCTTCAGCGCCTCCCCTTTGCCCATGGGCACACGGACGACGGCTGGAGCTTCAGGAGAGGATTCCAGCAGCCTGGGTGATTTTGGGGGGCAGAGAGTTGACACATTCATCCCTTATCTGTCTCCAACCCCTTCTAGAAACAATATCCTTAAATTGTCTAGGACACTGACCCAACTCCCTCCTCCAGGAACACTCCCTTTGCTCTCACCTTACTCAGAAAGAAAAGTCCCTTTTGCCCCAAAGCCTGAGATTTTGTTCCTCTTCCTTAACCCCGATTCGGATCCTTCCCCTGCCTTTGGCCTCGTATTTGGGGATTTTCCGCTCTCCATCTCCCCGCTCCCGCCAGGTAAACAGGCGGGACAGCTGCCACGTTGGGCACTTGTGCAGGGCAACGTCCACAGCTTCTCCCAGTTGCCCTCTAGCTTCTTCCCTGCAATTTTGTTATATTAACCAGGCGACGCAGGGGGACGCTCCGGTCCAGCCTGCTCTTATGGCAAGTGGTCCTGGGCACAGAGGCTCCTCCAGTGACACCCCAGCGTCCCCTCATCTCTAGGAGCAAAAAGAGAAAGGGCTAATCCCAACGGAGGGGAAAAAACATCAAGTCTGGGCTGGCATCATCCTCATGCTGAGGCCCCATCCAAGGGCATCATCCCTGAGCCCCAGCACGGCCAGACATACCTCAAAGTCTCCAGTCCTGGCACAAAACCCTGCCATTCTCCCTCATTGCCTGAGCTTATTTTTTAACCAAAACTTCCTGCATGTGGGTAGCTTCAGCCCAACCCTCCTCCCGTGCTTCCACTCGAAGCACTTTGCTGTTCTTCAGAGGATTCGCTCCTTGGCAGATGGAAAGATTCAGCTGCAGCGACTCCCCTGCTCCCTCCCACTCGAGGCAGGCAGGAACTTTGACAGCTCACATGGGAACCCGCTCCCCACCTCATGGCGCTCAGCTTTACATAAGTAATACATGGAAATTGCCAGCAGCTGCTAAGAGCCCTTCCCCACTCACTCTCACCTCCGAAGGTGCTTTCTGTACTTTTCCATTAACTCCCCCCGCCGCCTTCCCCTCTCAGGCTCCGTCTCCCCAGCCCGAACGCGCTCCGTGTTCCCACCCGCCGGCTCCTGACAAACCCAAGCGGAGCAGGCGGCGCGGGGACCGCTGCTCTCGGATTATCCGGTCTGTCCCCATCGCCTCTGCTCCTTTCCTCTGTCTGGCACAGGGAGAGGATGGGAGAATCCCATTCTTCAGCCTCCATAAAGATCCAAAGATGTGAAATCCAAAACTTTCCGGCCACAGGGCTCTCCCGCCTCACCATCATTAAAAAAAAAAGTCTTAACTTTTACTTAAAGCCCAAACCACAAGAAGAAACGAAGCAAGAGCACGTTGCTGAGCATGAAAACCAAGCTCCATCCTGCACACAGCAGCCCAAGCCTGCCCAGGGCCAGGTATCACGGGCACCTTCGACCCAACCAGGCAAAGAAGGTCCCATGCTGGATGCTGGCAAGCTAAGCAGGGCCAAACCCGAGGTGTTACCACTGAAAAAGGAACAGGGAGAGAATGCTCAATAATTATTAGCAGCAAAATGAATGAAAAATGGTTTGGATGCATAAATTCCCTGCAAGCTCCTGCAGCACAAAAGCAACAGCACCTTAGCCTGCAGCAAAGAGCCAGGGAGAAGTCAAGCACCCCCTTTCCATCCTGAAAGCTTTACAGGCATCCACAAAGTGCAGCCTGGTCCTTTTTTATTGTCCTTAACAGCAAAACTAGAGCCTTTTGCTTGGATGCGCTCAGAGTTTTCTAAGTGCTTATCTCCCCGTTGTCTCTGTGCGTGAAAGAGCAGGAAAGCAAATAAAAAAGGCCGGGCTGCAGCCTGCTAAGGAGGTGCAGCCACAAGCCCAGGTCCAGGCAGCCCAAGGGAGGGCTCCGAGAAGCTCCCGCTGGGAAGCCCATGGCAGCCCGAGGGCAGGTTCTTCCCTGTGGGTTTTTCCCTGACACTATCGGCACCGGCTCCGAGTTGTCCTTGCTGCAGTGGGAGCACAAGGTGCTCCTGTCTCATCGTGCGGAGCAAACTGGTACACGCCGGGCGCTGGCTGGACACAGCACTAACCCCATGCGGGCTCTGCACGAAACTAAAACCCCTCCGGGAGGAAATAAAACCCCAGCGGAGTCACTACAACCTGCCTGCGGTCTGAAAGCTGCCGGGAGCCTTTTGGGGGAAGCAGAGGGGCAAAGAGATGGCAACAGAAGGAGGAGGAAGGACACAAGGGGAGAGCGGGGAACCTACAGGAAGCCAAACTCCCATGAGGAGGGTTTGGATTTCCGAATTCGGAAGCAGCAGCCTGAACCTCCCGTAGTCCTGGCTCTGGGGAAAGAAAATACTGCTATTAAACAATGCAAAGGGAGAAGGAAGATAAACTGGATTTACATAATAGTGTTTATTTCAAAGCACTCCACGAAGCATGGCTGCAACGGGGAGGGCTGGGATCTACTTACTGCCCTCAGACTCCAGATGCAGAAGCTCAGCTAATTATCCAGAGCAGGCTTGGAAGAAGGGCAAAGGGATCAAATATTGCACACCCGTGCATAACCTATTTACCTGCAACAGCACTTCCAAAAAGACCCTGCGCTTCTGTATTCACAGAAAAGGGCCATCACCACCACAAAGGACAAAGAAACACTTCAAGACCAGCGTGAAAAGCCCCCCAAACTCAAAACTGCATTTCCCCACCTCTCCCTTCCCCACAAATTACTACATTAGAGAGGGCAATCAGCCGCTGAGCAGCAGGTCCTACCAGCAGCTGTCTCCAGTCTCTATCTGGCATATCCATGCTGCAGGAAAACCCCTCTGTGGAAGCGGAGCAGGGCACAGGGTGGACCCTGCACAACCATCACCTGCCCCAAAGCATGGGCTGTTTTCTGCTTTACTCCACACTCATCTCCTGCTCTGGAGACACTTTATACCACTTGCTTT